TGCCAATGTGACATGTAGGGGCAGGAGCTGGGTGGCACCAGACTCAGTGCTCCAACATGCACCAGGACAGATAACTGGTGGGTTAGGGCTCAGAAAACCCCAGAGCACAGGAATGTGATGATAAACCTTTGAGAGCCACGCCCTCCTGTCATGTGTGACATGTTTGCTAGAAAATCAGAAGCTTGTTGGTGAGGACAGAAAGATTGATTACACAAGTTCTGTTATGAAACCAACCTAAAAAAAACTCAAGTAAAAACATGATAAGACAAGGCTAAACAGCACTTGTTTTGAAGAAAACATTGTTTTTATCTCATCTTCTTCCCTGAAGTTATCAATAATCCACTTACAAGTCAGCACATCTGGAAAGCAGGACACACAGTCTCGTGCTGGGTTTCCTGGACAGACAAACACACAGGTGGGGTTGCCTGGTGTAAACTATCATAGAATCATAGAATCACAGAATATGCTGAGCTGGAAGAAACCCACAGGACCATCCAGTTCAACTCCTGGCCCTGCACAGACACCCCAACAATCCCACCCTGTCCCTCAGAGCCTTGTCCAAACTCTCCTGGAGCTCTGGTAGCCTTGGGGCTGTGCCCACTGCCCTGGGGAGCCTGGGCAGTGCCCAACCACCCTCTGGGGGAAGAACCTTTTCCTGAGATCCAACCTGACCCTGCCCTGACACAGCTCCAGCCATTCCCTGGGTCCTGTCACTTGTCAAGAGAGTGAAGAGATCAGTCCCTGCCCCTCTGCTGCCCCTGGTGAGGATGTTGAAGACCCCAAAGAGGTCTGACCTCAGTCTCCTCTTCACCAGGCTGAACAAAACAAATGTTTTCAACTGCTCCTCATAAAGCTTCCCCTCCAGACCCTTCCCCAGCCCTGTGGCCTCCTTTGGACGCTCTCTAATAGCTTCATGTCTTTTTTATACTGTGGCTTTTGTGGCCAGCAATCCAGTTCTCCAAGGCTTAATCCTCCTCCCGCCATCCTGTGAATTGCCCTTTATTTCCCATTTCAGCCACCACAGTAAGTCACAGCCCTGATCCAATGCAGACCTGTGCTAGAAAGTCCCAGGTAGTTTAAGGATATCTAATATTAGCTAAACACTACATTTCTCCTTGACTTGTTTTTCTATAAACTGTGTTTTCAACCTCTTGAAGCAGATGAATCCTCTCTGCCATGAGCACTGTTCCTGTATGTGTCAGACCTGGGAGGGGGCGTTTCAGCCTCAGCTGCTCAGTTCAGCAAACTAAGAAGTGTTTGCACTTGGGGTTTTGAACCTGGTGAAAGGTGTTCAGCATCTGTAACCACAAGCACTACTTTTTACCCCAAACAAATGCTTTTGTGTCAGTGAGGTTGCTATGTACTGCTCAAAAGACTCTCAGGATATCCTAAAAATAAATACACAGATAATAAATTGCAGAAGCCACAGTTACCTCAATAATGCTTAATTATACTCAGTTTACATAGTTTACAGGATCATTTATGGTTCTTGGACTCAGATGTCCTGGTTTCCTCCTTTTCTGTTTCCCAGTTGCCTTGGGACAGTCCCCAGCATTCTCGAGAAGTTTGGAATGAGAAGGAAATCTCTGCATCAGACTTGATTTTCCCTCCTTGCATGGGATGAGCTTCATCCCAGCACTGCCCTTTCCCAGCACCCTTGAGCCAGGTATCATCCCAGGAAGCAGGACACAGAACAGAGCCACACACCCCATGTGTCTGTGGAAGTCCTGCCTTACTCAACAAAATCTTGGGTGCTCCTGCCACCACCTCACTCAGAAACCCTCAGCACCCTGTCCTGGCCCATTATATCCATCACTCACTGTCTCTAACACCCAGGGCTTTTGGGCAGCCTTCATACATCCAGGACTGTTTCAACCCTTTTCCTGCCCCAACCCATGCGTGGGGAAGCAGAGGTCCCCACAGACCCCCAGCAACCATGCCCTGAGTAACCTCTGATGCTTCATCAGTGGTGGTGAATGTTTCATCAGGGGACACAGCCCTGTGGGTCCCTCCAGGGATGCTGTGGGTGCCCTGCCCCTCCTGTGGGCACCTGTAAGATGTGTAAAGTGTGTAAGAGACCTTAAACATCTTAGAAGACAGATGTTTAAGACATCTGAGGGAAAAGAGCAGAGCAAAGAAGGTGAGTGTTCATAAAGGCTCTGGCCAACCAATTCTTGGACTTCATGCCATGGAAGTCTTTTGCTGTTGGGTTTATGCAGCAACACCCAGGGGCTTCCCTTGTCTCCCATTTGTCCTGGTGTTTTCCCTCCTGCTTGATTGAGCTCTGCCCATTCACAAATTTCTTCAAACTTGGAAGAGGGCTAAATATGAGCTTAAAAGGAAAGTGCATGGGCTGGTCAGGTGGTAGTTCAGTGGCTAGTAAAGTCACTGGATAAAATCACCTTCTGAATTTCAGCAGTTCAAGTCTACTCTATTTGTGCTGCTCCTGGCTTCTGATCACTCCCATCTTTTCTCTGTATCCCCTCTTGGTTTACTCCAGGGTGAGGTGGCCACCTTTACACACACCTTGTGACAGATCAAAGGTGCAGGTGTCAAGGTCACATTGGATGTGGCTCTGAGAAACCGGATTCAGTTGAAGATGTCCTTGTTCATGGCGGGAGGGTTGGACTAGATGGGCTTTAAAAGTCGTTTCCAACCCCAGCTATTCTATGATTCTGGGTTTTTTTGCTGTTTCAAATAACATTCCTACTTGTTCTTGAAGGAGGGCTGTTATGCCTGAAAGCTCATCCGCTTTTTTCCAGCTGTATCAGCTCATCTAATAGAAACTATTATTGTCCTCTATGGGCCTCACTTTTTTTATCCATTTAGATCATCATGCCTACAAAAGCAATAATGCCAGTTATTCCTAACATGCACTTGTCTGGTGAGCAGTGTGGACCAGAGAGCAGGTGCAGTCACAGATCAAGTGGAGGAAGGCTCAGGTCTCTTTCTGAGCACCAATTTACAGCCAACACTCTCCTGTGGGTCCACCACTTGCCCTGCACTTCCCTGGCAGACTCTGCTGTTGGCCTAAAGTCACTGAGAGATTTGCAAGGCTTCTTTTGCAGAGGTTCTCAGTCAACTTTACATTTTAACATAGTGAATAATTTATAATCATCTTAGTCGGATGATTTAGACATCTCTTCATCCCATTTTCCAGGTTCTGTGGAAATAAATGCATCTTTTCTCCCTTGTAACAGCTGAGTATCTATTCCTTCTCCTTGGCTCTTATTTTGTCTCCAATTAAAAAAGCAGGGATGTTCCCCTTGTTATCTCGGGATTATTAAAGGGTGTTTTGTAACATACCTTAGAGGAAGTTTTTTGAGCAGCCAAGTGAACAAAGCAGAACTTGCTCACCTGTTTGCTGACTCCTTGGGTGTGTTTGTGAGACATCTCTGTGCACACAGGGGCTGCCCCCTCCCAACAGAGTACATTCATTCCTGTGCCCCCAAGCCCCTCACTGCAGTCTCTAATGGATTTGCCCAGCACAGAACTGAAATTTATTGTTCTGTTGATCCTCAAACCACCCATTCAGTCTTTAGTTTTGTGCAATGGATGTGTTCATTATGTGTTCATTATGTGCTTTTATGCCCTCAGAATGTTGCTCTTGGAAATCCCTCTTTGCCCTGATCCTTCACTTGCCAGAATTGCTGCTTTCTTCCCCCTTCCCATTCAGACAGGACTCACAGCCTGTCCCTCTCGGAGGGATCTCTGTTTGTGTGCAGTTTCCTGTGTAAGTACACTGGCATTCTTCTCCTAGAACGGCTTTCCAAAAATTCATATATATTTACCTGAACCTTTCATGTGACGTCTTCAAGAAATTCACCCAGTCTGAACTCATCCTTTTAGTTGCTCATTTGGCTCCAGCCAGATGCTCCGTTTCTGTCACTTGTCTCTTTGCAATTCCTCAGAACTGGGGGGGGGGGGTATTTCGGGTTGCTGCTTCTCCCAGAAATCTCTGACTCTGTGACAGCTGGCTTTTCTGCAGCTACCTCTTGAACCCATGTAATTCTTCTGACTAAATCCAGCCTTACAGAGCCCTGAAGGACACCACTCATCACTGGCCTGTACCTCGACATTGACCACAACTCTCTGTCTGCCTCCATCCAGCCAATTTTTTATCCATCAAGTAGTCCACCTTTCAAAACCATAGCTCTCCAATTTGGAGATAAGGTTGTTGTGTGGGACCGTGTCAAAGGCTTTACAGAAGTTTGGGTAGATGTCATAGGTGATCTTTGCATAGACTGTCCTCTCTGCATGGAGGGGATCCAAGTCCCTTATTATTCCACTTTCCACGCTGTCATCTTTCTGAGCTGCTCTTGAACACTGCTCTTAAGACCTGTCAGGAACCTGTGAGGTGCTCAGTGTCACAGCCAGCCCCAGACAACAGTTTTTCCCTTGCTAATCCCCAGACAGCAGCACAAGAGGATGCCGGGCTATTTACTGATCTCATTGTCTACTGGATTTAAGACCACTCTTTCAGAGGAGCGTGATGTTTGCCTGTGTGCAAGGGGAGCTCCTTTAGCTGCAGTTTGTGTTCATGTCTCTTCCCTGTGTGTCCGGTTCCCTCTGCTCCGTAACCCTGAGCCGGCCACAGGCTGCAGCCCGACCCGCCAGTTTGCCCCCTTTCTCCAGCCGAAGCACCCGCTCCCTCAGCCCTGCTCGCCCCGTCCCTCTCCGCTGTCCCCGGGAGGCGGTCGGGGATGCCGAGGGGTCCCCGGGGTGGGGAGTCCCGTTCCCCGCCCGCCGGGCGCTCCCGGGCGGGGCCGCAGCGCTATAGGGGCCGCAGCTCTATAAGGGCCGGCGGCGGCGGCGGGGCCGGGAGCGCGATGGGGCTCGGGGGCGGCGGCGCGGAGCTGCTCTTTCCCCCGCTCCTCCTCTTCTTCCTTCTCCTGCTCCTCTGCCTCGTCCTGCTGCTGCTGGGCTGCTCCCGGCCGCTGGCGCTGCGGCGCGGCCGCGGCCAGGTGGGCTACCTGCCGGGCTACCTGCCGGGCTACCAGGCGACCCCCAGTCAGAGCCCCTGGCCCGGCCCCCGCCACCTCCCCGGGGCCCTCCCGCCGCCCTTCCCGAACGGCTGGTACCGCCTGCTCGACTCGGCGCAGCTGCCCCGCGGCGCAGTGCGCGGGCTCGCCCTGCTCGGTGAGTGCCAGCCCCGCATCCCCTCCTGGGCACCCCCGCCCGGCACCGCCGGCGCACCGGGCATCCCACCCGGGCAGCCCTGCTGGGGAACAGCCCCCAGGGGCACGGCCGGGGCACTGGACCATCCGTGCTCGGGCACTTCTGGCAGGGCACTGAGGCATCCAGGCCGGTGTGGATGCCTCAGGTGCTGGAGGGAGTCCAGAGAGGGGGAAACGAGGCTGGTGAAGGGTGTGGAGCACAAGTGCTGTGAGGAGCAGCTGAGGGAGCTGGGGAGGCTCAGCCTGGAGAGGAGGAGGCTCAGAGGAGACCTCCTCACTCTCTACAACTCCCTGACAGGAGCAGGGAGCCAGGTGGGGGTCGGTCTCTTCTCCCAGGAACCAGCAGTAGGACAAGAGGGCACAGCCTTGAGCTGCATCAGGAGAGGTTTAGGTTGGACATTACAAAAAAGTTCTTCACAGAGAAAGGGATCAGACATTGAAATGAGCTGTCCAGGGAGGTGGTGGAGTCATCGTCCCTGGAGGTGTTTAAGAAAAGACTGGATGTGTCATTTAGTAGAAAAGGTGGTGTTGGGTCAAAGGTTGGACTTAATGATCTCAGAGGTCTTTTCCAACCTAGTTAATTCTGTGATTCTGTGATTTGCACTGGCACATACCAGCCAGCATCCCCATCAGGGCACCAGGACATCTTGCTGGGGCATCAGGGCATGTCCTGGGGCATCCCTGCCTGGACATCCTGCGGGGGCACAGGGACATCCCTGTTCAGGTAACCCCAGTGAGGCACTGGGATGCCTGCACATGGATATCCTCACCAGGGCACTGGAGCAGCCCAGTGTGGGCACTGGGCAGCCCAGCCAGCACCTGTGGTGGGCACTGCACTGTCCTTGCTGTCCCTGCAGGGCATCCGGGGCATCCCTGCCTGGGGGCTCTGCTGTGGCACTGGCACAACTCTGCCACCATCCCTTTCAAGTCAGAGTGGCTGCCCCATCCCTGGAAGTGTTTGAGGCCAGGTTGGACGGGGCTTGGAGCAACCTGGTTTAGTGAAAGGTGTCCCTGCCCATGGCAGGGGGTGGAATGAGATGGTCTTTGGGGTCCCTTCCAACCCAAACCACAGCAGCCCAGCTGTGCCCATAGAGTGGCACCAAGGGTATCACAGCCTGGGGTCCTGCATGGGCATTGGGATCCCTGCTGGAGCACTGGGGCATAATGGCAGTGTGGGGACACCCCTGTGTGGGTGCCCTGGGACACAGGGGCATCTCTCTGCCTGGGCTCTCCTCACAAGCATCACTGCCTGCAGCTCCCTGGGGAGATTGGGATGGGACTTCAAAACCACATCCAGAGGAGTGCTGTGCTCCTCCAGGGTCCTTTTGCTTAGAAGATGGGTTTGGACCAGCAGAAGGGATGTTTCTGCATTGAAATCTCTCAGATTCAGTGGAAAATGTGTTCCTATTTGCAAGAGCCATCCCCTCCTGTGAAGTTGCTGGTGTTTGGTGTTTGGGGTTTTTTGTTTGTTTTTGGTTATTTGTTTGTTTGTTTGGTTTTGTTTTGTTTTTATAACAGGATCCATGTAATTCAATATACATTGAATTCTATCCTAGAGAGCCCCTCCAGCCTATCTGTTATAGTTCTCTTGGTTGTCTGCCCATAGCCTGGCTCCTGGCACCCAGTCCTCTGGGTCTGGCTGAAACGTGCAGGTGGAATCACTTCTAGTGGCAGTGACAGCAGGGTACCAGTGCCAGGAAGATTATCAGTAAGTAAGACAGTTAAACAACCTGTAGCCTCTGGGGTTGTGGGTGTCTAATTTATTTTGGAGCCTCTGATCAAAAAGCCTGGAAAGACAGTCCCACTTCAGAGGCAGTGAGTCAGAGGAGATGAAAGAACAACAATCACCTGACTCAGTCTTTGCAGGCTCATCCTTTGGGATAAGACACCTTCCAAAACCTGGCACTGAGCATGCAGGAAAGTCTCACTCTCTCCTGAGGTTGTAGAAGTGGGATGAGAGCTGCTTCAGAGTCCTCTGAGATGCTCTGTCCCAGACTCTGCATTCCCAGCAAATGCCCAGAACTGCCCAGTGGTCCTGGGGCTCTTTAAGTCCCCTGTGCTATTCTCGCTGCAATTGCTATTTGATTTTCCTAAAAGAAATAGGCTAATTAGGTGGGAAAATTAAAATTAAAAAGAGAAAAAGTATTTGGCTGTTAGTGCTCTGATATTCACCTGCAACAGTTTTTCAGTGTATCTTGGGCCAGAAAACTGTCCTCCCAATTTGGAGAGGCAGAGCAAAGACCAGCCTCTCCTCTGGCTCTGCTGGCTCCAGAGTGCAAAGGTTGGAAGCAAAAGCAGCACTCAGGAGTCCTGGGTGAGTTCTTGGACAGCCCAGCAAAGGTCTGGCCATGGGTACTGATTTAGGTCTTCAAGGCAGGAGACCTCCAAACTGCCTGTACGAAGGGAACCTCTAGAGATGGGACCTTCTTGGGGTAAAACCATCTTAAAAGTTTGCTGGGCAAAGCCTTAGGCTGCAGAGCTGCTGCTGGGGGCACGTGGCTGGGACACCCGGGGCCCCAAGTGCTCTGGCTGTGGGACTCTGGTCTGACCCATCCAAAGCTGTTCCTCTGTGTTTCCACTCTGTTTCCACTCCTGCTGAGCCCTTGACATCTCCAGCAATCAGAAACACTTCCCCTGCCTTCCCTCTTTTGCCCTGAACCTCAGGTCAGGTAGAAAGGTGGGTTAGAGATAGAAGAAAATGCTGATGCTTCAGAACGAATCCCTGTTACTTGGGGCAGGGGAAGGTGCACTGCTGGTGCCTCCACTCCAGTGGAGTGCCAGTAGATGTGAGAGCCTTCCAGAAAAAATCTGGGGACAACAGGCCCAGTGTCCTGGGAAAGAAGGGATCTCCAGGCACTAGGGTACAAAGACTCATATCTACCAGATATCAAAAATAACCCTTCCTAGGCTTGAAGTCTGGGAAAGTTTCCAGCATTTCCTTTTCTTTGCCCAAATAACAAAACTTCAGTCAAGGAAAGTGGTTTTGGGAGGGATAGCTCACACCGTGTCACTTGTCATCAGGGTGGCTGCCTGGGAAAACACGGACTGCACTCAGCTCCCAAAGCTGAGCTTGGACTTCTTTGAGCTCCAAGTGACAGCAGCCACTGTAACGGCCAGAGTTCACAAGCTGATGAACTCTGAATACGAAATACGTGCTGCATCACCCAAGGCACAGCACAGAAGGAGAGGACCTGGCCTTCCCCTCAGTGGTCACATCTGTATGAACAGCCCCCAAGGGCTTCTGAGCTCCCAGCCCAGCTGTGTCCCCTTCCAACCAGGTGATTTGAGGGGACACTTTGCTTTCAGGGCAGGTCACCAAGGCACAGCCCCTCTTCCCTGTGCTGCTTCCAGGGATGTGGGCACTGGCTGGTCTGTGCTGGGCCAGGAAAGCATCTGGCCCCAGTTCAGTCCCTCAGGAGCACATTGGTTCAGATGATGCCGTGGCAGCCGTCCAGCTGTGGTTGGAGCACAGCTGGGTGAGGCAGAACCATGAATAGTCTGATGGCTGCAGCCCAGGTGATGCCTGTCTCTGCTTTATTGGGCCCTTGCTCAGCAAACGTGGTGCTACCCTGGGGCTGTGGAGGAAGAGGGCAATCCCAGAACTGAGCCGGGACAGACCAGTGGGGCAAACCTCGCATTGCTCCGGGAAGCACAAGGAATGAGGCCCACAATGGAGACAAGTCTGAGTGCCGGGGCAATGCAGTCCCAGCCACTGCAGTGCTGACTCTCCACTCCCGGTGTGGAGCCGAACAGAGCCGGGGGCTTCCCTTCCCTTCCCTTCCCCAGAAAACTCCCTTTTGCCGAGGAGATGTCAGTGCTCTGGCTCTCAGCACGCGCTGTCCCTGCTCGAGGAAGGGATTTGCCGCTGAGCTACAGTGTGGATGGCCCTCGGGGTTCAAGAGCAAAGAGATAAAGGGCTTCTTCCAGCTCCCGTTAGCAGAGATTCCCGAGATGTATGAGCCTGTGGGCTCTCCTCTGCCCCTCCTGGGCGAAGGAGTTCTTGCTAAATGCTGCAATTACCCTTCTCTGTGTATCTCTCCCTTAGCAGGGGAAGCATCCTAAATGTTCAAACATTTTTGTGAAGGCATCTTTCATTTTGTGGCCAAAACAGGATCCAGGACAGGGTTTAGAAGTCCATGGCCACCACACTCCGGGCATCTGCTTGAGCAGCTGCCAGCCCAGTTCTGCCTGGCCTTTTCTGCAGCCAGTAAACACCTGATCGCAGTGCTGCCCGCTGTCCCTCCCTCCCGCTCTCCGTCCCTCCCGCAGCCCGTGCCACCGCCCCTACCCGGCTCTGGCAGCTGCCTGGTGCCATCTCGTGGTTAAATCCCTTCTCCGGAGCATCCCTGTTTCTGTCCTGCCACGACTAGAAAGGAAAGAAGCCCGCGGGCATTAATTTTCCGCAGTGTTTTTCTCACTCCTCTGACCCCGGGTGAAGTCACCGCTCGGTGCCCCCGTTCCCAAAGGGCCGAGCAATGAGTGTCCCCTGGGGCTGCTGTTTTTACACCTCCACCATCTCCTGTTCCGGCAGGGGAACATCTCGTCGTCTTTCGCTCCCAGGATGGCCAAGCCCACGTGCTGGACGCCCACTGCCCTCACCTCGGGGCCAACCTCGCTGCCGGGGGGCGGGTCCGGGGCGGCTGCATCGAGTGCCCCTTCCACGGCTGGCAGTTCCGAGGAGAGGATGGAAAATGCACCAGAATCCCGTATGCTGGAAAAGGTGAATGTGCCCCAAATCCATGGAGAGCAGCCACAGAAAGGATAGTGCCCCACGTCCCCATTAAAAGCCACTTCATTAGGGGAAAGTTGTCTTTATAATAATTCACCCTCCATCCACTCCCCTGTTTCATGCAGCACCCTGGTTTTCCTCTGGGTTGCCCATGTCCCAGTGTTCCACAGGAACAGAAACACAGGGTTCCAGTGCCCTTCCCTATGTTAGATGGTAACTGGGACTTCAGTTAAATAACGCCCTTCTCGGTTCTGACAGTCCCACACCTCCTGCATTCCATAGGCAGGGTATAAAAGCAGATTTTTAACTCTGAGCCTTCCATTGGGTCCCTCAGGGATGGACCCTGAGGAGCTGTTGGGTTCCAGAAATGATTCTGTGCTCTACAGTGACAGCTTATGCCACATCAGTGCTGAAATGCATCCCATGAACATGACAGAATAGATTCTCAATGGGAATTTTTTTCTCCTTTTAGGGCTTGAAAGGAACTTTTGGTTGGGATTCAGGAAAGGTCTTCACATACACCCACCATGTAGACGTGGTTTGCGTTGACTGTGTAGGAAGGACGTCTTAAAGTTCACGTGGAGCAATTACTTGATCTGGCTCCACTAATGAATTTAAATCACCAATTTGCTTACCTTGAGTTTTGCTTTGGCTTGTGCTTCTTAGTTAGTGTCCTGAGAAGTTCAACTTCACTGGATTTGGATCGATTAGGATAGTGATGAAACACTGATTGGCAGCAAAAGTCACTTTTTCTACTAAACAAACTATTTCTCCCAAAGTGAAAGAAACATTCCATCTATATGGACAAGAGAACCAATTTATAGATCTCACCAAACAGCAATTTCCTTTTCTGTGTGTGTTATTTTCAGAAAAAAGATTAACACTCTATTTTTTTCCCCACACATAGTCAGGAGCTGCATTGAAATGAAAATTTGATTCCATGCACTGAGCAATGATGTGTTTCACCACAAAATGAGGGAGAATATTCTGGACATATGCAAACACTCACACCAAGATGTGTCATTTCATCTGAAATGGATGAATTCTGAGTCATTATTATTTGGAGGTATTAAAAGAATAAAACTGCAGCCAGCTGCCCTGCTCCCCTCCAGCCCAAATGGGTCAGGGTGATTTAAACAGATTTAAAAGCCATCTGTGCTCACACAGGTACTTTGTTGGAGCAGGATTTTGGAGAGCTCAGATGGGCAGCTCCTCCAGCCCTGGGCTCACAGGGACCCACAGCCAGACAGAGCCCCAGAGCCCAGTGTGGGGCTGGAGGAAGAGGGGGAAGGGTTTTGAGCACATGGAATGGCTGAGGGAGCTGGGGGGGCACAGCCTGGAGAAAAGGAGGCTCAGGGGGGACCTTAACTCTTAACAACTCCCTGACAGGAGGGGGGAGCCGGGGATGGGGTCGGGCTCTGCTCCCAGGGAACAAGGGACAGGGCAAGAGGAAATGGTCTCAAGCTGTGCCAGATGAGGTTTAGATCTGATATTAGGGAAAATTCCTTCACTAAAAGGGTGGTCAAGTGTTGGAATAGGGTGCCCAGAACAGTGATAGAGTCACCATTCTGGAAGGATTCAAAAGATGTGTGGATGTGGCACTTGGGAACATGGGTTAGTGCTAGGCTTGGCAATGCTGGGCAGTGGTTGGACTTGGGGATATTAAAGGTTTGTTCCAACCTGATTGATTCTGTGACTCTATGTCTGTGTGGGGGCAGATGAAGCCCTCTTAGAATTTTAATGAGATGCATCCCACCCAAAGCACCAGGTTTTGTCAATCAGAAATCACAGTGATGGGCTCCTCCTGCCCCCTCTGATATCCATTGACTGAAAGAGAATCATCATTTCTCCCATTATTTCACTTCCCACATGTACAAGGCTGAGTAAGAATGAACTGCTCTATGCTCTCTTTGGTGCTCGCTTCCACATTAGAAAAAAAAAGTAATGAAGGCAACAGCCTTCCAATCCAGTAGAAGCTGCATTTTCTGACAATAAATGCCAAAATTAATTTCACTGAAGTGATCTATTCTTAAAGCAACACATGATACTGCAATGTTATAGCAGAGAATGACTTGAACTTGAGAGGCAGCAATGGCTTTTACTCTCTCTGCACATCTAAAACTGAAAGCATCTCCTGTTAACTCACTGGAACTGGAGGGGGATCCATTCATGCAGCAGCCACTTAGTTATTTAACCAGGTTAAAGAGGCAGCAGACCAGCCAGCCAGGTTGTTCCTTTAAAAACTTATGCAAAACACCAAACTGAAATAAAACCAATTAAAACAAACTCCTTTCTGTGACCCTTGTAGCTGCTGTTCTTCTTCAGTGCTGGAAAGCTGGAGCAGTGCCACCACGAGTGTGTGCCACAGGAATATCTCCCCTAACGTCGAGCTCAGAGCTGTGGTTCCACACCAGGGTCGGGGTCGGGGTCAGCCTCGGGGCTGTGGGTTTTAACTGGTCCCTTTGTGCCCCTGCAGTGCCAGATTTCGCCAGGATCCGGGCCTGGCCATCCTGCGAGGTGAACGGGATGGTGCTGGTCTGGTACCACTGCCAAGGGCTCGATCCCACCTGGGCAGTGCCCGAGCAGCGCGAGATCACCTCCGAGGAGTGGGTGTTCCGTGGGCAGACGGAGCACCTGGTGGACGTGCACATCCAGGTAGGGAGCTCGGTCCCTCCCCCCGTGGGGTATGTCCAGGCCTGGGTCCTCTCCTATAGCCCAGTTCAAAGACATCTCCTCCCAGTTAACCAGACCTTGGCAGTGCCATCACTGCTGCTGGCAGAGCTCTGACCTGGGAACACCCCCTGTGCTGCACGCCGAGAACGCAGCATATGTTCCCCAAACACGGAGCGTGAGTGGAGAACAGCTGTTCTGGGTGCTTAAAAAGAATCTGCTAATTTGCTTTGACTTACAACTGGTGTAATTTAAAAAAAGATTCTCTAAGAGCTGCGGCACTTACTGTCAGGATGCGTCTCAACCCATCGATCACCCCAATGGAAACGCGCAGTTATTTTGCTGTTAATCTTCATAATCACCATCATAGGCTGACAAATGGGCCATGGAGAACAAACGGCTGCTGCCTCTCTGTGGAAATGAGTCTGGAAAAAGGGTCCCATTTTGTGGCACTGGACAGAAGGGACCTGGGAGGGAGAAGGGGCAGTCACAGCTGGGGGCTCCTCCTGGAAAGGGGTGGGAGGCAGCAGCAGTTCTGAAACTGGGTGATGCCTGGAGGTCCTGGGGAGATTTTTCTGTGCTTGCTGCTGCGCAGAACATCCGTAGTTGTAAAAATCAGGGACAAAAATGACCCTTAAAAAAGATGCATGAGGCACAGGAGATGCAGCTCTGGGAGTGTGAAGAGGAGCTGGGAGAATCTGGAGGATTGAGGGGATAGTAATATTTATTTTATGTCTTTTCCAGTGCAAACCACTGCACACAGGTCTGTACTGGGGCCAGTCTGTGCTGCTTGCAGAGCTGGTGGGAAGCTGGTGTATTTAAGTCATAAAACAGCTAAAATGTCTCAAAAAGTGATGTATATGGGCAGGCTAGTAGGGTTTAAAGGTGTAAGAGCATGTGAAAACTAGACAAAAATGCTTTATTCATTACAGTTATTATAGGGCCAAAGGCAGGACTTCTCTGGAGTCCCAGCTTGTGCATCTACACAAGCAAGCACATGAAGAGTTCTGTGAGCTCAAAACGAACCCTGAATTTCCTGAGCTTCCTGTTTAAATTATTCCTAGATGTTTGTTAAGAGCTGGTCCCAGTTCGCTCTGTGCTGAGGCCCCCGGTGCCTCTCGCTGCCTCAAGACCTGTGAGCACCTCTGCCCTGCCTGCCCTGCTCTGCCCTGCTCAGCTGGGGGCCCAGGGCTGTACCAGGGTCACCCTGGGGCTGTCACAAAGCTGCTGTAAGTACAGGCAGCTCCCACCTGAGTCAGCTCTTGCCAACAGCAAATTGTTCCCCCCATCAGGAAATCCCTGAGAACGCAGCCGACACAGCTCACTTGGCTTTTCTCCACGGCCCAGCAATTCTGGGAGGTTCTGACCTGAGATACACGAGGTCCAGGCTGTGGGACTTCATGAAGCACATGTGGAAGGTAAGACCCCAGCTCCCCTCTTAGCCATGAGGTCAAATTCTTCCAAACCAGGTTCCCTTCCTGCCTCAAAGCATCTGTCCCCCCTCACCCCCTCGGCTGCACCTCCTGCTCCAAGCTCTGTGTCTCAGAGGGTTTGGGCTGCACTCCCTCACCTCTGCTCATCTCCGGATGGTCCTCACAGCTCTTGTCCCCGTCTCGTGCTGCCCCTCTCAGCCTGTGCCCCCCACCCTCGGGCTGAGCCATCCTTTCCCCCCTCCAGGCAGAGTGGCAGCCAGAACCCGAGCCCAACGCACACTGCTCCCGGCTGCTGCTCCAACACTCCGCAACCATCTTCGGGAAGCGCCTCTCCCTCATGGATCTGACGGTTTCAGCCAGGCAGGTACGTCCTGGGCCAGTGACCACCAACATCTCAAGCTGAAGGGCTTTGTTGCCCCAAAGGCTGAGAGCCCTGCCAGTCTTGCTCAGTGTCACAGAGCCACAGAATGTTCTGACTTGGAAGGGACCACAAAGATCCCCGAGTCCAACGGAATGGCCTGTAAAGGGATTGAACCCTGCTCTTGGCAGCACCCTGCTCTGACCAACTGAGCTCATCTTGAGGTCACCTTCCCTACCAAGTGCATTTGACACATGGGCCAAAAAGCACCCACTGGCACTGGGCCTGCCCCAGAGAAGAGGAAGGGGTCCTAAGCATTACTGTGCCACAAAACAATTAAAAAAACCCACCTGAGCAGACGTTGGTGACAATCCTGAGGGACCTTCATACCACATGGTCACAGATGGTTACAGTGCAGAAGTGGGAAAGGCAAACAATCAGGAACAGTGTGTCTGTAGCCTAAGATCAGCCTTGAGATAATAAAATAGCTGACACAGACTAAGAATTACAGGAAAATAGAAACAATGCTATGAATCAATTGGAACCACTTTTGTTTCTGGATTTTTTTTAATGAAATGTGAAGTTTCCCTGATTAAACATTTCTAACTTTAGTCTAATACATTTTTGAAGGAATTTGACCTATTCCCACATTAGAAATGCAGAACAAGTCATAGAGTCACAGACTGGTTTGGGTTGAAGGGGACCTTGAAGATCATTTCATTTCAGCCCCCTGCCATGAGCAGGGACACCTTCCACTAGACCAGGTTGCTCCAAGCTCCATCAAACCTGGCCTTGGACACTCCCAGGGATGGGGCAGCCACAGCTTCTCTGGGCAACCTGTGCCAGGGTCTCACCAACCTCATGAGAAGATTTCTCCCCAATATCTCATCTATATAATCTAACCCTGCCTGGAGATGATAACAACTGGCAAAGTTGTGACTCAGGGCCCTGAGGTCATGACTTTGTGCCTGACTTGATGAAAAGAGTAGCAAGCCCAGCCCAGGAGACATCTCTAGCAGGTCTCAAGGTGTGGGGGTTCCTGTACCCGAGGGCTGGACCACTGGGGGCTGTTCCCTGAGGATGTTCTGTTGCTCTGCAGGTGGGGCCAGGGCTGGTTTACCTGATCTTTGAACACGCGTTCCTGGGCCGTGGGATCATCCTGCAGACGGTGACTCCCCTGGAGCCTCTCCTGCAGAGTGTTGTTCACAAAATCTACTACCAGAAGAACATACCAGCCATAGTCCCCAAGTTCATCCTGAGGGCAGAGTGTGTCCAGGTGAGGCCCCTGCAGAAGAGCAGCCAAAGGGATTTGGTTCCCTGGAGCTTTGTGCCTGGGAGGTGTGAGAAGGAAGAGCAGCTGCCCACATGGGCTCGGATATCCTGTGGGAGCAAAACAAAGACCTGGGGAAGGTCCTTGTGGTGCTTGTTGTGATCTTTCCTTGTCAGCAGCCCAAAAAATCAAACTGGAGGTCAAATAAAGGGGGTCCCTGCTGTGGGTCACCTGCTGAGGGTGGCAGAGAGGTGTTATCTCTCTCCTGTGGGTGGGAAGCTGGGACACAAGGATTAGGCTCTTTAGCTGCAGGAAGTCTTTGAGGGAACTAATCACTGCATCCAGGTTTCCAGCATCCCAGACTGGTGCTTTAACATTATCCTATTACCTTTGGTAAGAACTGTGCCAAGAAATCCTCCCGTTTTTAGATTATCATGAGATTTGTCAACTCCTGCTACTCCTGAAAGAGGTTTTCCAGGCTTCTACCACAGGGATTCATGGAAGTGTTGAACTCTGGAGGTCTCCATTTCAATATCCCAGCTGAGACATGGTTATTGCCAAATTCAGGTCAAGCATGGCCTTGAAGGCCACCTCTGTTGGAGAGCGGCCCCATCTCTCCAGCTCCAGATGAAGTTCAGATGCCAAAAACCTACCCCAAGTCAAACTTAGCTGTGTTCCCCCATATTCTATAAATGCTGCCTTAACATTTTGCATCTTACTACTGTGAATGAGCAACACTCATTTCTGCAGCACCTTCCTCCCAAAGCTTACTCCACGTGTGCCTGAGCGGAGTGTAGGATGTGGATGCTTTATTTATAAAGCCCTGGCTGGCTGGAGCTACCCAATGAACCCAAACTCTCACGTGGAGCAGCTCCTACCTGCACAACCCCATGACAGGGGCAGTCTGAGCTGGAAGTGGCTTTTCTGGGCTAAACTCTGCTGGCTGCAGACAGAGCAGTGGTGTTCCATATTCCCATAGCAGTCCCATGAGGACCAGTGTGGAGAAATGTGAAAAGTAAATCAGTGTCACACAAACCTGCTTCCCCACCTGAGTGAGATCCTCCTTCTCCCCTCAGTTTGAGCGGGATATAACCATCTGGAATAATAAAGAGTACCTGTCCAAGCCACTCCTGGTCAGTGAGGACTCCGGGATTCAGAGGCACCGGCGCTGGTTCTCCCAGTTCTACAGCGAGGGGAGCGCGATGGCCCCGGCACGGGAGGAGGGCCTGGACTGGTGAGGACCCGGCTGCCCCCGCACTGCAGGAGCTGCCAGAGGCTCTCAGGTGGGTCCTGCCCACCCTGGCTGGTGGCAGAGGTGCTGTGCAGGCATCACCAGAGTAACAAATACAGGCACTGGCACAGGGAGCAGAGCCTGAGCCCTGGTGATCCTTCTGTGTCCGGGGCACCAAAGTTCCAAGGCTGTCCTGCAGTGTGAGCTGAGTGTGAACTTCAGGTTAGAATAATGGAGTCACAGAAATCCTGAGCTGGAAGTGACCCACAGACCATCCAGTCCAACCCCTGACCCTTCACAGACACCCCAACAATCCCACCTTGTCCCTGAGAACGTTGTCCAAACCCTCCAGGAGCTCTGGCAGCCTTGGGGCTGTGCCCACTGCCCTGGGGAGCCTGGTCAGTGCCAACCACCCTCTGGGGGAAGAACCTTTTGCTGAGATCCAACCTGACCCTGCCCTGACACAGCTCCAGCCGTTCCATGGGTCCTGTCACTGCTCACAGAGAGCAGAGATCGGAGCTGCCCCTGCACTTCCCCTGGTGAAGAAACTGCAAACCCCAATGAGTCTCCTCTCAGTCTCCTCAGAGTGCCAGAGCTGCCCTTGAAGTGTCCTTGTCTCTCACTGCTGCAATCATTTTGAACAGTTCTGTTTCCATCTGGCCTTTTATTGCCCGGAGTGGCCTTTTATTCCCAGACTGGCCTTTCCCTGCTGATGCTTCTGCAGCATCACCTTGGCTAGGACAGGCTCCAGCTCTCACATGGGCTGCAAACCTCACAGGAACTGCTCTAGATCCTTCTGTGCTTGGTGCTACATGTGCTGTATTCAAGGGCTAAATTCTGCCTGGCTGCTTTCCCTGGGGAAACTTGTAATCCCTCCAGGCAGAGCTGCTGTGGGTCACCAGCAGGGCTCTGACAGTTCCTCTGTGCCAAGCAGGAGCAAATGCTCAAATCCAGGAGCTTTCCCAGGCTGGTGGCTCCCATTCCCGTGCACTGTGCACCTCCCTGTGCCTTGTGAATTCTGCACTTTGCTGGGGCTTCTAATTCCTCCTTCTGCACTGTCCCAGAGCAGGGTTGGGAGCAGGACCCTGCCAGAGCAGCCCCCTGTCTGTGCAGAGCTCACTGCCCACCCCAGGAGCACCCCGGGTACCCTGTGCCAGCCGTACCACCACCAGTCACATCTGCCCATTGCACTGCCAATATTTTTCTATTAAATGTCTTTTAAAACTGATCTCATGTTCACAGTTTCTTGTTCTTCACTGTCTTGGGGGTGCTCTTGCCAGGAGGAGTCCTGCAGCTGAACCATGCTCCCCTGCCTCAGGAGCCACAGGGAATCTCCAGCAAGGAACTTCACAAGAGAGCAGGAGCTTGGAGAAGGAGCATTTGTCCAACTCAACAGCCTGAGCAGCTCAGGGACCTGAGAGCTCTAATATGTCTCGGTGGCCCTGACCAGCCTCACCTGGGCTGCTTCCTCCACTCCCTGCCCATGGCCCAGGACCCCATTTCAGCTCAGCTCTGGCCCCTCAGCCCCTGCCCTGAGCGATGCTGTACCTCTGACTGACCTGGACTCTGACCACAGCCTGACTTCCCAGCTGGACCTCCACCCTGTCCCATCCCTACAGAGCTGCCCAGTCATTGCTGGGCTGTGTCAGACCCTGGACACCCTCTCCAGATCCTCAGACCCTGGATACCCTCTCCAGATCCTGGAGATTTGGAGATTGACTTCCCAGCTGGACCTCAGACCTGCCCCATTGCCATGAGCTTGTCCCACGATCTGACTCCACGACCTCTGGGCCTGCCCTGCCCATCCCACTGAGGGCGGTGAGACCCCCCTCAGCTCCCAGTACCCCATTCCTTAGGGAGCAGCTGCCCTGGCAGTGATGGGTGATGGAGAAGCACCAAGAGGAAACTAAAAGAACTGAGATGTTACGTGACATGATGTGGGTCATGATGTTCACCTAAAATTATGGGGGCCCAGGGCCACTCCCCCCCCACCCCCAGCTACAAACACACACTGGTACAGAGCTCTTGCCGCACCTGGGCTGTTGTTCCCTGCTCCTCTCTCTGTTCCCATATACAGGATCTCAGGATGAACAAAACTCCAGGGAAATTGCTGAAGCTCAGGTTAGAGCTGGTGAGTTCAATCAGCTTTGTTAGATCCATCAGTCCCTCTGAGATGAGAGGAAACTGGGGGATACCTCCAGCAGAGCCTGAATTTAGAGCTACCAGTTCCATTATTGCTAAAGCTAAAGTAGTTGTGACCTGTTAGGGCAGAAATTAGAGAATTGGGAAACACGGCAGGATTAGCTTAAGCCTCTTACATTCCCATTAGCAATCGTTTTTATCCTTTTAAATGGCTCTAGCAAAAAGGACAATTGAGTGCCAGGAGCCACTGGTGTGCCAAGGAGCACCATCCTCCCCTCTGCTGGGCATCCTGGCTTTACATTATCCACTTTACGTATGTAGATTTTCAAACAAATCCCAACCCCTGTCTGGCAGGACCTGAGGGCATCTGTTCTGACTGTTTACTAAAATCCCTTTGCAAACCTCCTGCAAAGCCACAGCCATTCTTACCATTATAAGCTGATAGTTGTACTTATTATTTTGGCTTATCTTCACACTTGACCAAGAGCCAAGAGTTTACCCGATGGCCAGACTCATTGTCACTCCATGTCTTTGGGTTTTGTTTTTTCCCAACTAACAAATTCACTACAAATTTCCCAATTCTGTAGCACAGTGGTTTTGTTTGGTTTTGGCTTTTTGTCTGCTTTTTGCAGAGTGGTGGGTGTAAGGTTAAAGAAACACAGAGGACATCAAAACAGGTCAAAGGAAAGGACACATGAAGGGTGATGGACATTGTACCTTAGGATTTTCCAGTGTTAAGGCCTGACTGCCTCTTTTGAGTCCTGGCCTATGTACTTGTTCCACTTGGAACAATTCCTGGTGGTCTCTGGTTTGTTTGGAGGTGGGTCCTGGAGCTCCAGAGAGTATCAGTGAGCCCCTGCATGCAGAACCAGCAGTGCCCCACTCATCAGCACATCTCTGGGACCCCTGGGACATCCTGGTGCAGGTCAAGCCTGTCATGGCCTGAGCCCAGATTTCTGTGCTCATTTTGGCTCCCACTACAAACAGCTGCCAAGGGCCTTGTCCTGGGGAGAAGGGAGGCTGCTCAGTGCCTGCTCAGTGCCCACCCAGTGCCTCTGTTCCCCTGGGGTGAAATCAAGCCCTCAGGTGGATCTGCTGGTACAGGTGAAACCCTCTGGCCCTGCGAGTCCAGGCTGCCCAGCACCGGCTGGAACAGCTGCAGAGAGGAAATCCAGCTGAGCTGACCCTGCCTCGTGGTGTGAACACCAACACCCGGGTGCAGCCCCCAAACCACCCAGCTGCCCTTGGGGTTTAGGGCCCTTCCTGCTACAAACAAACCTCTCCTCGGTGAGGGAGGAGCAGCTCATGGTGCTGGGAACTGAAGGGATGCTCCGGGAAGTGCTTTTGGGGAGCACTGGGTGCCTCAGGCTCGTGGTGCCCAGTGTGGAGTTCTCTGGATGCCAAGTTCACATGGCTTCCCACTGCCAGAGGGCAGGGTTAGATGGGATATTGGGGAGAAATTGTTCCCTGTGAGAGTATTGAGGCCCTGGCACAGGTTGCCCAGAGAAGCTGTGGCTGCCCCTGGATCCCTGGAAGTGTCCAAGGCCAGGTTGGACGGGGCTTGGAGCAACCTGGTCTAGTGGAAGGTGTCCCTGCCCATGGCAAGGGATGTGGAATGAAATGATCTTTCAGGTCCCTTCCCACCTAAACCATTCCACGATTCCATGAGATCCACCAGAGACCACTGCTGGGATCCAGGTCATTTCCATGGATGTTCTCCCTCCTCACAGCAGGACATCAGCTGGGGAATGTCCCAATCACGTGCTTGAAAAATAGAAAAGCTCAGACACTTTTCTTTTTCCTAAAGGTTGTTTTATTGTAAAACCATAAATACAACACTGACATGAAAATCCTCAAGCAACGGATGCTTTCTTACAGTTACAGTTTGTCTTCTGCCTTGGCATCAACTCTGAAAAGAATGTTGCAGAAACATGTCTCTAAGGTATTTCCAAATAACCGAGCTCTGGCCTGGAGCGCTCGGCCCCTTTGGAAGCTAAGTGGAACTATTCCTTCTCTCCTGTGGAATATTTCCATTCAGACAGCAACAGACTTGTAAAAACAGCAACATTTAAAACACCTTGATTTTTTTTTCTATAATAATCCTTTTCATTTGACGTCAGTCTAAGTTTCAAACAGCACTGAATTCATTTAGCTGTAAAAAAAACCCAACAAAACAAACCAAAAACCAAAACAAAATCCTAAAAAGAAAAAAAAAAACAACCTCAGAACTTGAGTTGGCCTCAAGCGTTTGTATATCACAATGAAAATCAGCAACTCAACCCCGTGCAATATTGCTCTCTAGTGAGTCATTTGATCCACACCAACAATACATGAGACTTCAAACAGGTTTTGTTTTGTTTATTAACACAGCAAGTGTGACATTAGATAACCTTTTAAATACAGTACATGGTACAGCGCGGGGCCAGCTGCCCGCACGTTTCCCGTTATGAAGACAAAGCCAGCGGTGGCGGTTTATAAAAATATTGTGTTGCTACAAAAGTATAAATTAATGCTACCGGTATTAAGAAATATTAAACACATAAAACTTATAAGGATTAAGAAAAATATTCATTAATACCTGTAGAAAACTCTGGCCTAAAAAAGATATTTTTTGTATATTTTTTGTATATTTTTTTTTTGTATTTTTTAAGATGACATGAGTGCGCTCACGGGCGGGGCCACGGGCGCGTCTGTGGTATTGCCTAGAACATCTGCATCTACAGAAAGGAGGGAAATGCACACGAGTTACTGAGGGAGGGAGGGCGAGAGGGACAGGAGAAGTTAATCTTTGCTTGATGAAACAACAAGAATTCAGCCCCTCCAGAGGAGGTTTGGGAAAACGGACGTACGGGCGAGGAACAGCTTCTCCTTTCAGACTGGCTGCAAACAAGGATCTCCCACGGTTGGGTTTGTCACCATGACACTGTCTGGCTACGGCGTGGACCACAATCATCACGGCCTGGGTGGTGTGTGCTACTCCGGGACCTGTCACCTGCCACCAAGGGTTCAGTTCATCCACTACCAGTTTTCCTTTTAAAGAATTAAAGAAAATAACGTTAAAGTCCCACTAAGTTTCAAGGGACCATGGAAAACAGACTGTTGCTCCTTCCAGAACACATACCTCCTCCCTTGAGTGGAAAGATCCTTCTCCATAGACAGCAGGGGGAAAATATTCCCTCCTCTCCACCCACAGCCCACTGGAAAAAAAATCCCACCCTATGCACAGACACTGCAGAGAACCACCACCAGAACCCCCAAGAGATGGGAACAAGGATTCAAGGCTGATGAGGCTGGCAATGTCTTTTTAAGGAACTTTGGCTGTAAAAAGCAAGGGTTGGACATGCCTGTGGTCATCAACTCCACCCTAAAATATACCCAACATTAAGGCTGTGCTGCTTACCCGGGTCCCACTGTCAGTGATGCCACAGCGACGGGAGAAGAAAATCCTGCCAGTCAAATCCTGCCACTCACTGGCTGATGTTGTGCATCAATGAGCCATTTAGAGCCTCATTTTAGAAGATACTCTAAAAAATTCCAACTCAGCTGCCTACAGATCAGGAAACCCCAAGGGTCTATGGATACACCATTGTACATGCGAGCAAAACTCCCTCAAGTTATAAACAAAGGACTCTGTAACAGCAAGAGTAAAAACACAACTAACCAGCCAAACTAGAACTGAAATGAAGTGGAAATCACACAAACATTCAGTAGATAAAATTAAATTTCAGGGCAACCCACTGTCATTGGTTCACCATTTCTGGCCTAGCGTAGGCAGACTCTCCCCCAGGCCTGAGGGCTGTTCCAGAAGAGCTGGGCTGGGCTTTACTGTTTGCTCAGTGACACTTCAGAAGCCCCAGGAAGATGGTGACCTGTGGCACGGGGACAGGTCCCACGCAGCGGGAACAGGGAGATCTTATTGCTACAGAGTGACAGCTTCAGAGATACCTGATATGGGACACTGGGGCTCAGCCGATGGTTCTGGGCGTTCCCAATGGATCCCACAGATTCAAGACCATTGTGTAGCACAGAAAACGCACAGCAGAAGCAGCAAAACATTGAACACTGTCCCCCAGCCTGATTCTCCACCTCGGCAGTGCAAGGGCTGACAAGACATTTGCTCCTCAACTGGTGTTTTTAATCCGCCAACTCCGTCCTTGTTGGAACCTGGCTGATGGATATACTGCAGTGCTGGGAAGGGTTTGGTGCTGCTGAGGAATGGGAGAATGGGGAGGAAGATCTTCTGGGCAGGACTGGCTTTTCCCACCCCTACATCCAGTCCCTTTTCTCTCAGCAAGGTCCAGAGCAGCCTCGTTCCCCACGGAGTGAACTCCAGGAGCTGTGCAGCCTTGCTTTCAATGACAAAGCTCAAAAAGCATTCCCCTAGGAAACTCCTCCCAGGTGAATAGATTTCTTCTCCCTGAAGAGGCTTCCAATAATCTGTCTTTAGTGTCTTTTCATTTTCATCCCTTTATTCCTAACTACTCCATAGGGCGTAACTAGTCCTTTCCTGTGGGAATGCTCACAGGAGCTCCTTGCCTCTCCCTCAGCCAGAGAGGTGCCATGAGAGATCCAAGCCTTTCCTTAGCACAGAGCAGCACTCCCAGCCCTGCTCTTTTAGTGTTGTTTGATTCATCAGTAACTTGGTGCTCCTAGAGCAGCAGGATGTCTCAGTCCCTGCTCCAGTGTCCACCATGGGCTGCTGCAGGGTCCAGAGTGGAACTGGCCCCTCAGACTGGGTGAAGCTGAGCAGACTCAGCCACCAAAACAAACATTTGTGGTAATTGTGCTAAACTGGGTTACTGCAGACAGCTGGAGGAAAACCATCCCACCCCCTGAGCCATCTCACTGAACACTGTGAACTCCACCACCACCATTTAGAATCACAGAATCACCAGGATCATCGAGTCAAACTCTTAAGTGAATGGTCTGTACGGGGATCAAACCCGTGACCTTGGCATTATTAGCACCAGCTGAGCTCACCTCTAGAGCTCAAGCCATTTCCAGAAGTATCTCCCTGCTATTTTCAGTCATTCCCAAGCGTTGAGAGTATCTGCTGCAAATTCATTTGCAAAATTCACATAAAGGTCATGACTCCCTGAGCTGCTGCTGGACGTGTTCTCTGCCCAGCAAGCGCAGATAAACCAGTGCAGGTGTTTTGTGTGGATGCTCAAACCAGTTTAGCTCAAGATTAAACTGGTTTAAACAGCAATGAATGAACAACTGAATTAGACAAAACCTGAGCCCACCGTTGGCTTTCACAGGAAGTTTTCCAGATTCACTAGTTCAAATACACCCAAAGCAGTTTCCTCAGCACAGACAGAGAGACTGGACAGAAAAGAAAGTTCACTTCCACCTGAACCTGACCCGGGTGCAAGACACCAAGCCTATCCTGCAGGTCAGACCACAACTACTGCCTGCTCCTGGAGACATGGGGAGGGGACAGATCAGGAAACAAATCTGGGCTCCATAGCCCTCTGGCTGCTGCATTCACACAGAAACAATCTCCTGAAGAGCTCTGCCTCCGTATCTCACTCTGTTTTCTAGTAACAAGGATCTTCAGACAGGACTGGAAGGCCCTTCACTCTGACAGTTCATCTGCTGGTGCTTGTCCCCCAGCTTGAAGGTCAGAACCCTTCCAAAGCCAGCTGGGAAGTCAGAAAGAGAAGGCTGCAAGGTCAGGCCCAGAGTCAGCAGCAGGAACAAGTGACTGCCTGGATGCCCCCCCCCATTTCCGTATCCCAACACATTTCTCTAGTGTGAGTAAAGGAAACCAAGAAGCAGAAGGCAAAATCCCAACATGACCTACCAGAGGATGATCCGTTTTGGGGACTTCTCCCAGCTCAAAGGGGGCAGAACCTTATGACAGCTCTGGCCAAAATCAGTCTCTTCTATGCAGCCTCCCAGCCCAGGATGGGAAGTGCTCCCTACAGCATGTGCTGCTCCACATCCCGAGGCATCACAGAGCACGAACAGAGCAGTTTGCATTGGAGCAACCTGGCAAAGAAGAGCTTCCAGAACTCAGACCTTGGTAAAGTATTTTTGCTCCCTAGAATGCAAATCCAAGCCTTGAAGATGGAAGGAGGAACAGAAGCAAAAGCTTGGCATTTAGGGTAAATACCTGTGCTACAGATGTATTTCTCTGCTTTTAATTAAGTCTAGAGTACCAGACAGAAGGGAGCCTGGGAGCAGACACAGCATGAGCAGCTCCTCTGAGCTGAACACCCAGTAACCACGCTTAGGAGTCATGAAAAGCTACAGCTTCTTAGTCTGAGTTCTGGAGGAGATTGCTCCAATTCAGGTCTTAGGTTCCATCTTGCTTTTTCAGCTGAGATTTTTAGTCTTTGGGAGAATGGCATCTACCCGACACCACGGCATGTTTGCTTAACACCCATCATTAGTGCAACTACAGCCCAAGTTGCCTTGGAGAGGACAGTTATCGGGATGGGGGAGAGGGCCAGGCCATCCCTCTCTTTGGTCAGCACAGCAAGAAAACTCCAGACCTGGTGCCAAAACCACAGTGTGAGGAGGGAAAGGAGAGATGGCTGGGAGGTCAGGGTGGCTATGCAGCCATGGTCCTGCTCCATGTGCTGGGCACAGAGGACTGCAATTTACCCAATTCTCAATGCCAGGGCTTTACACCCATGCTAACTCTGCTTTGCCTGCTTCCCACCCTCAAGGCCTCACAGATAAGAGAGTACAATGAGCCCCAGCTGGCAAATCCCACTGAAGTCATCCATCTATCCCTTGCAAAGGAGTGCTGGGGGCTGGAACTGCCTTTCCAAAGGAATATAAGGACTTTGCACATTCCCCTGAGCATCAAAGAGCCTGGGAGCTCTCAGGGTCTCTGATGAACCACACAAAAAGGTGTAACATGCCATTAGGAGAAATAACTACAAATCCTGGTCCTTGTGCCACCAGATGAGCTGTGTGGTACACACTCTGTGCCTCCAAAGCTAATCCTGCTTTGGAATCATCCTCTAGACAAGTTTTCATGCTGTCAGGTACCTGTGGGCCCAGCAGCTCACACAGCTCACTGTCAGTGGCACGAATCTCACTTAGGGCTTCTGTTTGACACTTCATTTTTGTCTCAAACAGGCTTCTCCTGCCACAAAAGTGCCAAGAGCTGTGTCACCACGGGCCCAGCTGGTGGCTGGGCAGGTAGGAGTTGTAGAGGAGAAAAGAAAACCAGCAAGAAGAAAAGGTGGCCCTATAACCAACACCTCCATTAGCCACTGCCAGGGAAATCAGATGCCCAAGTGCCTTTGCCTTGGCAGGTCCTCTTCACGTGCAGCTGGCAGTGGGGTGGCAGGCTGTATGATGTCCACAGGCAAGACTTAACATTCAGGAGACACCTGGTTTTGCCCTGATGCCAGTAACAGTGCCAAGAGGTCAACCCAGACTCAAGCCAATGGAAGACAGCTGGGTGCCAAGAGCTATCCTCAGTGACCCTGGGCTGGGGAAGATTCCAGCACCCCAACTGTGTCCCTGAGTCCCGTGCCAGTGCAGGTGTCAGTGCCTGAGAGGCTCAGGGCATCTGCACACAAAGCCTGAGAGATTTGGGTTGCTATTTCTCATGTCTTGGAACGTGCAACTTGTCTTACAGCCAGAGATGGGCAGGTGGGATCTTGGTTTAACATCTGGTCAACAGCAGCACGTCAAAGAGGCCCCCCAATCTTCCCCCCTACGTTGTCAGCCACCAGCAAACACCTCGTGCTGCTGAGGGGCTCCAGCTGAGCCAGTCCCTCCTCCTGACCCTCCTGTGCACTGGGACTGCAGCTCCTGGAAGCAGGAGAGACTACTGAAAAAATCACAATTGGCTTCCATTCTCCTCCAGGATATCAGTCCCAGTGGTGAAAAACAGTTTGGCACCAGAGGCTGGGAATTGTCCAAGAGGCACCAAACCTGACAGAGATGCAGGAGCTGTGCCTGTGGGCAGGAAACACCACAGAGCACTGGCCCTGGGGGACAGCAGAGTGACTGAGATGGCTCTGGGTTATGATCATCTCCAATTGCATTTGGGGTGAGCCAGGACGTGGGAACGTTTCAGGGCCCATGGCCTTCCCAGCTAGAACGAGTCAGCAACAGAACAAGTAGTGTAATGCACTGTAGGTATCAAAAAGACATTCGTGCCACTAGAGGAAACCATTCCAAATAAAAATGGGAAGATATTCTTTGCACTCAATCAGGAGCACTTACATTCAGAAGGATCTTTGAGCCCATGCACTTCTCTAAGCTTCCTTCAAACCCCAGTTTGACAAAACTAATGAGCTTTGTTCCCCTGAAAAATCATACACCTTGGTTTGTCCTTGGCATTGGGAAAGTTGGTTTGTGTGTAACTGAGACACTTTTAAACAAAAAAGTTCAGGTAAAACGGTTCTCTGGCAGACCTGACAAGCTCACTAGTGGCCCACAGCCATCTGTGCTGTCACCACTTTTCCTGGTTTCTAGGCTTTTCTGTATAAACAACTGCTGTGGTTCCCATAAGGATACTATTTAATTGCAAATGGGCTACTCTAGAACAAGTCTGAGAATGCCTGATGCACAAAATTCACAGAAAAGCTAATTAACACCAGGAATTCAGAAAAGAAGTTCTGCTGTAGAAAAATAAAGCCAAGAAACTTTACAATGACAGACATTTTCTGCCATAAACCATTTCTCTTAGTTTGAAATCAAACTTATAATCACTAGCTACCACATTAAACTCAAAACTGGGAGTGGAGGCAGAAGAGTAACTTTTGGTTTTTTGGAAAAAAGCATACATGAAAAGGATAAAAATAAAATTAAAACCCAAAAACCTTCAAGTCTCCCTTCCCTGATTTCTAAAGGTCCCAGTGTTGGTAGAACACAGCTGCCCTGATACGTGCACCAGGTGCCAGGAAGGCCTCAGCCAAGTGCCCTCAAGGTGTACAGTTATTCAAAGGAGCAAAGTCCAGTGCAGAACTGGTCTGTTCAATGGAGTCTGATTATCCATGGCAAGATGGCCCAGGGGACAAGAGGAAAGGTGGGGTGGAGGAGAAACAAAAGAAACTTCAAGTCACTTTAGATCTCAGCTGCCTGAAGACTTTAGAACATCAGCCTCCCATTCGTCTGCCCACTTGAAAACATTAGAAAGTCTGTCAAGTCCACACACTATCTATGGAAAGGAGCACGTTCCTGGCAGAGGGCTGTCTCTCTCCCATGCTCAGCTTTCCTTTCAAACTTAATTTTATATATATTTATATTTTTATATATATATAAAAAAGCACTTGGTTTCCAGGGGCATTCATAATGAGGTCCACAGTGTTTAGAACTTAAAATTCTTTTTCTTTGTTTGGAACAGTGTTTTAAAGTTTTGTTTTAATTAACAGACAGTCTTAAAGCATGTTGGACTTCAAAAACATGAGTTTGTTCATGTCTTCTGGACTGAGTAGCCGTCTCCTTTTGATCAAGAGAGCCTGCTCACACATATTTACACATTCGCTCCTGGCACCCACAGCAGGCACTGCTAAGAGCCAAAAGGCCAGCTTGGCTAGTTTTGTATGCTTTTGGGTAACACACGACCAGTACTGAAACAGGTCAGGGGTGGCCTGGAAGAGAGGTTCTTGCAAATAATCATAGACTTCATTTTTCCCGAACCAATCTTCTTCCTGAGCTGCTGTGGCTTCCCCTGCTGCACGAGGCTTCTTGGTTGAAGGTTCAAATTCTGTTTCTTCTGCCCAGGACTCTTTCACCTCATTGATCAACTCACAGACCTTGCCAATGATCTCTTCATGCTGGTATGGCGGGACGGGCCGCAGCTTCTGCTGAGGGTCTAAGATCATGGCTACCTTGTGTGCTGAGTGAACTTTGAAGTTCTCCTTCAGCGCCTCCAAGAAGAGGTGGCAGAGTTTGCTGACCACGCCAGCATCGTTAGCTTTGGAAGTGAACAGTTTCTCCAGTTTGACGTAGGTGGGCAGGACCAGCTGCAGGGTGGGCCGGCTCTCGTTGCTCAGCTCGATCACGGCCTGTTTCACCGGAGCCAGGATGGCTGCCAGGTTGCTGAGCAGGTGCTTGTTCAGGTTTTGGATGAGGTTCATCTTCTTGGCCCTGCTGTAGAACTCGCAGATCTGCTCGTAGCGCTCGTGGACAAGCAGGAGGGAGTCGGTGACTGAGTTCCAGCAGGGCGGGGGAGAGGTCTCTTCCAAGGAGCCAAAGGTCTCCTTCGAGAGGCCCGTGGATCCCGCCAGATCTTCACAGACATTCAGGAGCTCGATCACCTCGTGCATATTGCGAGCCTGTAGTGTTCTCTTGTTGAGCACACTCTGTACCACCGAGTTCAAGGCACAGGCCGAGCAGCGCAGGCACATGCCCGCCTTGGAGAACGCCGAGGAGTTGACTTTGCAGTCTGTGACATACACCGTCCTGATCTCCGACATGACAAACTCCGACAGCACATTCTGCACCCAGTGGTGGATAAAATCACCATTGTCTCGAATGTCTACACCCTTAATTCCCAGGACGTAACTCTTGATGTGGTTGCCCTCCACCTGGTAGGCGGTCAGGATGTAGCAGGAGTCGGGGCCGACGCTCTGTGAGTGGCAGGTGACCCCAATGCCCAGGCAGGCGTTGCTGCCCAGGGCGCAGGTGACCTTCACCTTCACCTGGTTGTACATCCGAGGCAAATGCTTCAGAGCCAGTGTGTTGAAATTGCCCAGGATCTCGGTGACAGAGAAGGCACCGTAGCGAGCCCCACTGTCCACCAGGGTCTGTGCCAGCTTGATGAACTCCTTCCCGCTCACCACGCTCAGCACCCCGAGGTCAGTGCACATCACCCGCAGCAGCCTCTCGGCGATGTTCTGCCGCTCCTTCTCCGGGATCGCGCTGTTCCCCATGGAGCCGCTCGCGGATGCTGCAGGGAAACACAAGCGAGGCGAGAAAGCACTGCATGAGCTCCTCTGCAACTGGAGAGGAGGAACTCACAAAACAATCCTCAGAGACCCCAAAGAGGTGGAACATGCCCAGATGATGGAAGAGATACCTCCAACCCTGGATTTGTTTCCCCCAAGGTTTCTGGATAAGGAACCTCGAGGGACAAGCTCTTGCTCAGAGCAGCAAGATGCTTATCTGCATGGTGTCTCTGGTGTGGGGACAGACAGAGTCCACACTGCTTCCAATCCAGTGCCTCACCTGATGGCACCTCACCTGATGGCACCTCAGTGCTGCTCAATGAGGAACTGCCTAGGTAAGTTATAATCATGTTTGCTATTCATGTCTACAGGTCGACGGTCACAGCTTAGCCCAGATGGAAAAATGGACATAGAATCATAGTATCACAGACTGGTTTGGATTGGAAGGGACCTTAAAGACCATCTTGTTCCACCCCCCTGCCATGGGCAGGGACACCTTCCACTAGACCAGGTTGCTCTAAACCCTGTCCAACCTGGCCTTGGACACTTCCAGGGATGGGGCAGCCACAGCTTCTCTGGGCAACCTGGGCCAGGGCCTCACCACCCTCACACGGAACAATTTCTCCCCAACATCCCATCTAACCCTGTCCTCTGGCAGTGGGAAGCCATTTTCCCTTGTCCTGTCCCTCCAGGCCCCTTGTCCCAAGTCCCTCTCCAGCTCTCCTGGAGCCCCTTTAGGCCCTGGAAGGGGCTCTCAGGTCTCTCTGGAGCCTTCTCTTCTCCAGGTGAACACCCTCAGCTCTCCCAGCCTGGTTCCACAGGAGAACATCTTTCCACTGTTGTGAGTTGGTTCTCTTCTTTGAGACTGTTATTTTAAGAGCAATTGCTCCAGTGAAGCATCCAACATTTTCCACCATCTCAAACAGTGCTGAAGCCCAAGTTCCCATTTCTTCCCTGATCTTCATCAACCCTGATTTCAGACAATATTAATGTCATTTTTGGCCATACCAGAACAAAAAAAGCACCACAGTTTTATATCCCCCTTTCCCCTGGCTGCTCAGCTCAAGTGCTTTGGAACTGATTTCCCTGGGCTGTATTTTCCCTTTTCCCATTGTGAAGCACAAGGCCATGGGAGGAGCTGGGGACAAAGCCAGAGAGCAGTTGTCTGCCAGCACAGGGACCGACATGTTATGCCTATGTCATGCCAGGATGACCAGATTAGTTTTTTAACTCCAGGTTGGGAAGTCTGACCTTGGATCAGAAGTTAATTTCTTCCAGGGGTTCCCAAATGCATCTTCCTCACAAACCTTCCCAACCACCTCCCAGGGTTCTTTGTGCACACGAGTGCTCCTGTAACAGGAAGCGGTGCTTTGCTCTGCCAGGCAGGACATGAATTATGGATGAAATCAAGTGCAGTTCAGTGAGGACTAGGGCCTTGTGCAGTGCCCATCACTGCTGCACCCTCTGAGTCACTGTTGTAATGGGACAGTTAAGCCCAGGATGAGGAGTGAAGGTGCTACGTACTGTTGTTGGCATTATTTCTTTGGAGCTGTGGTTTCCACTTCTCTTCAACCACAGGGAGAGGTGACCTGGGCTGGCTGGAGGCAATGTTGTTCTCATTGTCAGCTGTGGGGCAAGAGATAGGCAAGGTTTAGAAGCACAAGATGATAAATGCTTAAAGCACAAAACCCAGGAAACTATCCATGTGCTCAGCAGTTCCTTAGGGTTCCCTTAACTAAGGTGACAACAAGCTACTACACTCTCTGTAGTTCTCAGGCAGTTTTCGGTGAGCTGGTACAGCACCCTCAGAAACCTTGAAACTGTCTCTGGACTCACAACCTGCCACCTACCCAGATGTAGCTGCAATGGCTTTTTCTGTGCATCAGGGACACTGATGTCATCAGCACACCTTGAGAAATGTCTTCTGATGAGCTGAAGCTGCATCTCAAGAGGAATGGAAGTTCCCTGTGCAGCCTGACTTGTTTAATTTTGTTGCTTCCAAAATGACAGGAGGTAAAACAGGCATGGATCCTTCTTTTCCCTTATTGCCTCTTCCTGCACTGTAGGCAGCTGCCCTTTTCTCTCCTGTGAAGCACTTGGTTTTTCAAGCTGTGTTCAACTCCTCTGGATCTAAGGATCTCATTACAATCTTTATATCTGGTTTCCTTCCCTGAAGAGAGTGGGCCAGTCTCCTCAAACTGCAAACACAAAGCCAAATAACCAAGAGTCTGGAGTGTGACCAAAGATCATCCCACCCATGGCTGCAAAGACACCAACTGCCCCCAGTGTGCTTGTGTTCCCATTTCTGTGTATGGAACTGGGCCAAACGCTGTCAATCTGATGGGATCTTTCAAGGAAATGCAGGCAAGATCAGTAAATTCTCCATTATATCCATGTTTTTTCCTTTCCTGTGCCCCAAGAACTTCTCCCCACCCTCTAGAGGAAATTTTCTAGTTCTTAGTATGCTTCAATCTGAAATGGTGATCTGAAATAGGCTGTGAAGCAACACTGAAGTGCACAAAGAAATGAGGTGGAAGAAGCAGCAGAAAGATGAAGAGACTGATGACCAGGCTGAACAGAAGGATGGAATTGAACACAAAGAAAACAGAATAGGTCCTTTTTTCACCACAGCTGGACTTGTCTCACCTAATTTTGGACATCTTGTTAGACACACCCCTCTTCAAAGTGGCCTTTTACACTCAGTGGTGCAAACAAGACTCACAAGAGCCTCTCATTCCTCCAGGCAGAACTAGAGCCTCTTGTACTGTAAGGTCATTGGTGTGAACTCACTGGAGTCACTGACTTCTGCACTGATTACTCAGGGGGTCCAGGCTGGCCTGGACACACCAGCACTCAGTGCAGTGACTCTGCCCTGTGCTCCGACAGCAGAGCATGAGCTTGAGCAGGGCCTGGAGCACACACAGCTCTGCAGCCAGGCTGCTCTGTCCATCAGGACACTCAAGAGAGGGCAAAGCTGCTCTTCTCCACGTGTGCCACCGACCTGGGAGAGAAGGGAGACCAGCAGTGATGCAATGGAGCTCCAGTGCTCTCCTCCTTACAGGTAAGTCCTTTCCTCTGAGCAGCTCTGACATTCACAGACCTGCACATCAACAGCCACAGGCTGCACAGCCGCACAGCCACAGTCTGGGCACTGCACTGGCACAGGCTGGATCAATACCTAAGAGCAATCCAGGACGTGACAGGACCAGGGCTAACTCGAGGACTGCCTCGAGGTCTGTGTGTGCCCAGGGAATTCCCTGGTCATGGTGGGTACCTGGGGAGCACTGCCATACTCAGGCTGCAGCCACAAGTTGGTGTTTGCAGGTGTGGAAGAGATATGAAGAGCAGGAGGCACTCCAGTGACCAGTATGACACACCACCTTTCCCCCAGCATCTGCCCAGACTAATTGCTCTTGGGCTAATGTCACCAGTGTCCTCAAATCCAAGCATCTGTGGGTGGGAAAAGGAAAATGCTGGACATTGCCTACTAACTTTGGTAGGTAACTTCATGGTTCAGGCCTTCCTTGTCTTGGTGAGGATAGGTAGGGGTAGAAACCCTCTGTATTTCCTCACCATAACTCTTTTATCTATTTCCTAACAATAGGAGATTTATTATATACAAATATCTGCTGGCATTCAGTACGGCATTAATGAGATTTACGCATTTCAGTCTCATCTTCCTTATCAGGCAGTCTGTGAACTACACAGATCATGGTTCTTTAATTTCTCTTCATGCCTCCAATCCTTTAATCCAGGTTCAGCCTAGTCGTCCTTTTATTTTTTCAGGCCTAGATTGTCGGAAGGGCATTATATGGCAGCACTCGACCTGAACAAAGTACTCTAAAGGGAGTCAAAGCTGTATATTGTACAGTGTAATTACAGAACAAATTCCTCTGCCTGGTGTTCTGCTGTTCTATTTCTGCCTTTCAGCACCCAATTTACATTCTAATTGCTTCTCCTCACTGTGTAGCTGCTTTATGGAGCTATAATCTCTCCTTATTACCTTCCAGTCTCCACACTCAGCCCTTGGAATGACTCTGTGTTCCTGGTTTTCTTCTGCAGGCCAGCAGCACGTTCCCTGGCCTCAGTCCCTCGTGAGGGGTTCAGGGGAAGCAGCACAGTCAGTTGGAAGAGATCAGCCCTTTGCATCACACACGACAAGCCCAGCTGGGCTCCTGAACACATTAACTGAGGGACTATTTGACCCATACAGGTTTCTTGTATCCCTGCACCCCCGTAATGAAATATTCCTTGGGGCAGGCATATGGACCGAGCTAAACTGCCCCTGTGTCAGTGTCCCCAGCCTGTGGATCCTGAGCCACCAGTTCTGCTGACCCCTGCAAAGTCCCTGCACTCCCAGACTTCAGAGATGTTGGGCCAACCTGCTCTTGGATATGGAAATAATAGAATCACAGAGTCATGGAATTGTTTAGGTTGGAAAAGACCATTAAGGTCATCAAATCCGAACATCAGCCCAGCACTACCACCATGATCACCACTACACTAAACCATGTCCTTGAGTTACCTGGGGGAAGACACCGACCCCCACCTGGTTCCAACCTCCTGTCAGAGCAGAAGGCAACAAACCTCTGCCAGAGTAACTCAAGCTGTGTGTGGTCCCCACTGTGCTCTGCTCATGTGCACCACCCAGAGCTGGACACCCATCAATGCTGGGTGTAGTTTTCACGTCTCTCCACTTTGCTTTGCCCTCATCCCACAGCAGCACGTCCTGCACCCATGGCCCCGGCTGCCCACGGAGGGGGGGAAAGGCTGCTGCCCCCTCCAGAGGAAGAGGTGTGAGCACAGGGCTGCCAAGCAACACACACAGAGATGCCACAGGAGGGGACAGTGGCTTTCACATGGGACAGCCTCTTAAAGGGGACAGCCACTTGAAGAAGACAGGGTCAGGCTCACTGTCACTGTACTGGTGAGACACTCGGGAAGGAGCAGCCAAGCAGAAGACAGGGACTTGCAAACAGAGTAGGGAGAGATGAGAAAATAGTTTAACAAGAGTAATCTTGAGCTGGGGAGAAGGGATTTACCCATTCATACAGCTCTGCAGGATACAACTGTACAGGAGTCAGATCACAGACACACCTGATCCCTCCAGCCCTGTTCTGTGCCCAAAGGAACCCGGGTGAACAATCACAGAACCACAGACTGGTTTAGATTGGAAGGGACCTTAAAGATCATTCCGTTCCACCCCCTGCCAGGGGCAGGGACACCTTCCACTAGCCCAGGCTGCTCCAAGCCCTGTCCAACCTGGCCTTGGACACTTCCAGGGATGGGGCAGCCATGGCTTCTCTGAGCAACCTGTGCCAGGGCCTCAGCACCTTCCTTGGAGCCCTCCTCATGGGTCACTTGTAAAGAAGAGAGAAGGAGGAAGCTGCCAGCAGCACCGGATTAAGATTTCCAACAGCTCACACCCTGCCTGTGAGCTGCCATTCTCCCACTGGACTCCTCAGCTTGGTCTCTCCTCTGCAGCTCCACTACTCAGTGCCACCAAGAGCTGAAACTCAAAATGTTGCATTTCAGTGCCAGAGTCCAGAGCAAGGAACAGGATGGTCAGGACACAGTGTGGAGGCCGCAGAAACTGCCACAGAGAACTAGCAAGTACAGACCCCAACACCACAGGGTGACGGCAGCCCTGAGTGGAGCTCCACTGCTCCTTGGGGTAACAGAGTCCCATCACTGCACAGGAACCAGCTCATGCTCTCACAGAAACCAAAACTCACGCCTTCTCCAAACAAATCACTCTAAAAGTTTCTTTGTAACGTTATATAGATGATAAATAAATCAGATGCTGAACACACCCAAAGCCTTCATTATCATTTGCCAACAAGAACTGAATTGGATAGAGGAACCTCATGGATGAAGAACTCTAGGAGCACTATTAAAATTCGGACTCCAGCTAAACCACAGAGCAAGAAAGAATTTTCATTAGAATTATTGTTACAGAATGGAAAATACTCTTTTTCTCAAACCACCTGTCCCCCCTTGCCACTCTCCTCAGGGTCTGCATCAAATCTGCATCTCAACAGAGCAGCTGTTTGTTGGAGACCACAGGTCTGTCAAAGGGCATTTAATTGTTTTTAAACCTGTGTTAGTTCCCCTGAATTTTTGTTGAAGAGAAAAAAAAAAAGAAAAAAATCTGCCAATATAAAAAAATCTCCCATTTCTGCATTTTTTAATGTGCTGAATGCTGTCTTTGAAAGAGCTCTGGCTTTGAAATTTTAAAATCATCTCCTATGTATCAAGACAGAAAAAACCCCAGTGACTTAGAAACAAAGTACTGGAATGATTCCTCAGAATTTTCTTTTGTAGGAAGCTGTGAGGGAAATGAACACAACTGCTGAGAATTCTTCTTCTGAGAATTTCAGTCCTTTGCAGAACTCCAGGAGACACAAGCACAGGACTGGACTTGTGTGGACAAAGGCTCTGCTGCCCTGCAAGTGTTTTTGGTTTATTTGCTTCCATGAGAACTACCTCTTTGGGAGGAGGAGGGATTTAACCTGCTGCAGGATCTTATGCATTGAGGATTCTCTACCTTTGGATAAAGGGCATGAGTAGTGTGATGTGCTCTTTGCTAGAAGGGCATGATCCTCCTCTTCTATGGAAAGGAGCAATATTTAGGATGTACCCTGAGCCTGCGTGCTGTAGCCTTTGAGGGTCCAGATTTGCTGCAGGTGAAATGACTGGGGCTTTGGGAAGGGGGAGCACAGAGAGCCCTGTGGACACACACGGGGGTCAGCACAGGCAGCAGCACAGAATTGAACTCTCCGCCTGCAGCGAGTCCAAGTGCCCAGCTTACCTGCGTGGGACTGCATGTGCTCCAGGAGATTGTTATAAAACTGGAACTGGATTCCACAAGCTCCACAGGTGTAAGGCTCTGTTTGGGAGAAATCAGTTCAGAAGAATTACACAGAGTATGCAGGGAAGCAGCACACGTGCACACTGCAGGCTGTACAGCAGCGGGGCCGGACCTTGGGGACACCTCGGGCACGTCACTGCTGCCGGGGCTGGGGCCGGGTGTGCTTCCTCCTGCTTCACTGCACTGCCAGGGGAAGGCCCGGGATGGCAGAGGGACAGCACTGACACTGGAGGGAAGCACCTGCCTGGGTATGTGGGGGGATTCCTGTGGATCTGCACACAGATCTGGGAGGCTGCACACTGCCACTCCCTCAGGCTGCTTTTAGCACATCCCTGTTCTTTCTAAGCCTGGGAGCAAAGCTTGGTGAGTTCATTTTACATCCAGTTCTGTCAAATTCCAGTCTCTGCTGCCTTTCCTGAGTAAGACAAGGAGCACTGGGTTGTGAACAATCCTGTAGCTCCGAAGCTGGGGCGTGCAGCAGTGCCACGGGGGAACTCAGCTGGGTTTGTGGCTGGCAACAAGTGCAGTGAGACAGGGCCCGCTGAGTCCACAGGGCTGGGCAGCAGCAGGTCACTGGGGGAAGCAGACGTGGGGGGCAGGAAGCACAGAAATCAGGGCTGTGCTGGAAGACTGAGAGCAGAGCAGGAGAGCCATGTGCCAGAGGAATATGGATGAGCTGGAGTCAGGAAAGAGCTGGGTGCAGAGCTCCCTTGAGAGCTGAAAGATACGTTTAGCTCTGTTCTGGCCAGTGTGTTGAAAGTGCATTTTTTCCACTGAATTAACCGAATTGCAAATGTTTGCAGTAGCCTGTTTAAACAGTATTAGTTGCGTGCATTATTTGATAGATGTGATCTCAAACTACAGTGCTGAGATATGGTAACATTACAGTTTGCCTCTATCCCTGCAGCTACACCAGCACTGCCACCTCTTACACTGTGGCATTTTGGTTTGGAGCAGCAGAATGGCATATAAACAACTTTGGATACAAATGCCTGGCACAGACACAGAGCAAGGTCTGTTGCTACAATATTTCAGAAATCTAGAACTAAGTTCAAAGGGAAAAACATATTTATTCTGCATTAATGAATAAGCAAAAGCACCAGCATCCAGGGAGGAAGACCCAAAACCCAGGAGAGCACAAGCCTGCCTTGGCTGTACTCTGCAAGAAGTCTGAAGTCTGTGTCAGGTAGTAAACTCCAGAATTTACCTGATGATTGTGGGAATCTGTGAGGAAAAACACCCAAGAGACCACGAACAGTCTGTACTTACATGCTGTGAGGTTAAACGTTTCCCAAAGAACCTACAGCCTCTTAAACAACAGAGCCAGCTCCATCTGGAGTTGTGCTCAATGCTTTAACTCACTGTGTTTGCTTGTGATGCTACTCCTGGGTTTTGCTGTAGCAAGGAAGTTTGGAAGTACAGTACTTAAGTATCTGTGTTTGTGAAAAAAAGGGAAGACTTGGACAGCTAAGTGGCACTTGGGGATTTCAGGCCTTGGGAATTAACAGGGACTGGCTGTTTCTGCTGAAATGATCAGCAGTGAAATAGTTGTGGTAAAATGTCATAAGAGGTAATCTAATTATTTAGACTTATTTTGTAATCATCAGAGAGAAAAAGACCCCAGGCAGATGCAAACCATTCCTCTTCCATACCTATTTCAGTGTCAGATGACCTCTGTTACAGATCCACCTCTTTGCTGCTCACAGAGCCCAGTTTGCTCAGATGGAAATGTCTCAAACTTGACTCCCCTTCAAGTGTCAAAATTAACATTTCATTAATGTAATGAAAGCAGTCACACTTCCAAGGGCCTGCTGCCTGCTGCTGACAGGTCAGAAGGGCTGTGGTACTGCAGCCAGGGCAGTTCAGTGACCCCCTCTCTCTGCTCCACTGCCCTGCTGGAGCCCCTGTCCCTACACCAAGCAGGGAGAACAGACCCTGCTGTACCTCTGAGGTGCTTCAGGAATGCTGACAGGTGGACATGTCACCCTACATTTCCCTGGACACTGCCAGCTCTCTGTGTGCCCCCTGAACATCAGCAGGGATGTGCTGCCCGTAGTGACCTGGGACACACAAAGCTGTGATGAGGGAGCCCACTCCTCACTGCTGCACTCTCAAGGCCCCTCTCTGCTCCCACACAAACTCCACAGCTGACCTGGGAGCAGGTTTCCAGTAGCCACCAGAACAGCTCCTCCTCAGCTCAGTCACAGGGCGCCTCACTGGGAAGCAAATCCCTTACACCCAGCCAGGATTCTCCAACCAGCACATTTTCCACATTCATTTTACTCTCTTCTTTCACTCACATTTCCTTCTCAGCTGATTGTCTCACTGAGCTGCTTTACCTTCCTCCTGTTGTATTCTCAGCTATTTTATCACCATAAACCTGTGCTGTCTTTCCATCTCTCCCCTTGACTGACTCCCCTGCACCCCAGACCAGTCTTTCTTGGGTTCTCCCATCTCTATCCATCATGTCATGAACCACCAAGATCTCCACAGTTCATCTCAAGCTCCTCCCTGTGTGCTCAGTGCACTCATAACTCTGACAGGCCTCTCATTTGTGACTCTTCTCAGAAAAATTGTGTTGATTTTCATTCCATTTTCAAAAGCTGCCCCTTCTGTTCTACTCTAGAAATGTCCAATTTTGGAAAGAAAATTACCATCTACTTAAAAAAACTGATTTCACATTCTGAAAATGCCAAAACATTTTCTAAATACTTCTGAGACAAAGAGTCACACAAGTCTACAGTTTGGCATAAATGAAAATGAGTTAAAACTAAGGATAAAATTCAAATTCACCCGACAATTCCAAAGTCTTTCCCAGGAACAAAGGAAGGGATGCTTGGGAGGATGTGCAGAATCCCTGTGGGAACGAATGAATGAACTCACTTTACTTTCCAGAGCTTCCTCAACCCTCATACTTCTGAGATTTCAGCTTCTCAGCCCCTCAGGCTCCACAGCACAGAGCTGGGAGCAGTCAGGCTGCTTGGAAGTAGGGTGGAATGTGTCAGTCTAGAAGAGGAAGAGGAATCTGGAAGGTGGAGACAAGGAAGAGGCAACTGGTATCCAAAACTAGGGAAAAGTTACCACTGGAAAAAACCTGTTCACCTGGGCTGGTAACACAGTGACTAAAACCCCCTCCCTCTGAGTTAAAGGTAAACTTAAAGGTAAAATAGAAAAGTTGTCAGAACTACTCTGCATACCCTGTGAGCCACACTTGTGCCTGTTCTCCTTTCAGGAGCACAGTTCGCCCCCCCAGCACTGCAGGACCCTCCCTTCCCCAAAAGAATTTCAGCTTCCCTCTCTCTTGCCCAGGCTGAGGTTTCCACATCCAGAGGGATCTGTTCTCCTCCAGGTGGGCTGAGCTCAGCAAGGTGCTCACAGGTCTTCCCACGAGTGCTTCAACCAGAAACCTCTCCTGTTCTTCTCAGCTTTGCTGGTAGAGGTACAAGGAAAGCTGAGGCCCCTCTGTGGTGCCCACACAGACCCCCAGAACATCTGTGCTCCCCCCAGCCCCAACAGTTTTGGGTGGCCAAGGCAGGCTTATGGATGAGCAAAGCAGAGGCAGCTCATGACATGGCTCAGAGTCTTCCAGCCTGCAGCAGGACTACCCAGCCAGCCTGTCTCACATTGCTGAAACCTTCTCCCTCACCTTCCCAAGCCCCTCTGTGCCTCAGTAACCAATTCCTCTTGCTGTTGCACATCTGAGGGGGTGGGAGCTGTGGCAGGAGCAGCAGTACATCCTTTTGATGAGAAAACCCAGCCCTTTGCTCCACGTGCTCAGCCAGGCTCTCAGCTCTCCCTTGGGCCCACGGGCCTTTGAGCAGTGCCAGGTGCTGTGACCCTTCCAGCCCTGTTCCCTCGGGCTGGGGAGGAGGGAGCTCTGCTTTCTCCAAGCTTCCTCTGTCTGCAGACGCTGAACAGCTGCTGGTGCCAGCTGGGCTCCTGCTCTGTCCTTGGCTGGCTCGGGCTGAGGGTTGGGACTCCAGTTCCCACCACAGTCCCCCTGAGCCCTCCTGGGCTGGTGCAGGACAGTGGCTACAGCATCCCTAAACCCCACCATTCCCAGCAGGGCTGCTGCACTCACACAACCTTCCTTCACACTTGGATCTCAAGGGAGTAGGGGACAAATTCACCAGCCTGCAGGAGAAGCTTTCCCTTCCTCTCCTTGTTTCCACAGCTCACCCCAAGCAACCACTGCTGGGTGAGAGGTGACAGGCAGAGAGCTCATGGAGCTGCCTCCAGAGCACTCCCCCTCACAGTCCAAAATGTCCAAAAAGGAAGAGAAATCATGAACATCTGGCCCCCCTGAGGGTGCCCCATTGGCCCTGCTGTTGCTCTGGCTCCGTGTTGTTGCTGCATGTTCAGAAGCCTTCTGCAAACCCTGCAGCTTAACTTTGGCAGCAAAATCTGTACGAAATGGCAAATGTTGCAAGGCCAGGCCTTCCATGTGGCATAGGGTACAACACTGAGTATAGCACAACACCTCTGCTGCTCCCCCACTATCTCCACCCACCATCTTCTCCCATCTCCTTCCTCCTCCAGTCCCTCCTTCCTTGCTGCCTGTCCCTTGCACCCAGCCCATGGCACAGACCCAGCAGGTTTTTCTCGAGCTGTGCTGTCACTGTGTCCCCTGTCCTTGTGCTCTCTGTTCCTGTGCTGTCCCTGTGCTCCCTGCTCCTTCCCTGCCTGGTTGTCTCTCAAGCACTGCTCCTCTCTCCAGGAGCTTGAGGACTGCACCGTGCTGAGCCTGGGCCCTGACTGAACAGCTCCTATAGAACCACAGAATCACAGAAAATCCTGAGCTGGAAGGGACCCACAAGGATCATTGAGTCCAACTCCTGGCCCAGCACAGGACAACCCAACAGTCCCTTCATGTGCCTGAGAGCATTGTCCAAACATGTTGTCTGCCTCTGCGGCAAAATATTTGAAAATCTGAGAGGAGGAAATCACTCTGAACATGCCCTGTCTGAGCAGAAAGAACATGGCAGCTTCAGGCAGCTGATTTCAGAGAAGTCTGACTC